TGGGGAATGGAGACTGGGCTCCCAATTCCCTGCAAATCACACTGCCGCTGGGGAATGGAGACTGGGCTCCCAATTCCCTGTAAATCACACTGCCGCTGGGGAATGGAGACTGGGCTCCCAATTCCCTGCAGTACCTGTCGCTGGAGTTCCTCTCAATGTGCCAGCTGACCTCTTTCTGCCTGGTATTGCAGATTCTTGAACACTAGGTTCCTCATAAGCTGCACCGATTTCTCCGGTGGATTGGGTCCGTAGTACTTCAGCCGCAATCCCATCATATTGTCAAACTCTCTCCTTGAGTAGCTGTACGCCACTGCTGGTTCCATGCTGTTGCTGTCAGGGTCGCTGTACTGGGACATGCGTTGCCCTCAAATTGTAAATCCACGGAATGGTGTTGCCTGTAGCTGTCCTGTTGTCTGTGGGAACGATCCCGCCGCTTGCCACCAATTGTAACGGACCGTTTTGCACACAAGTGGTAAAAACCGTTTAGGCGATCGGCCCCCTTTCCAGAGATCCAGGCACAGCTACTGCAGAACACCAAAACTCACGAACTGGATACAAAATAGCACTCCAACTCCCGAACTGGAACCTCCCAAATAGCTGCTAGCAGACGAACAGGAAAAGCAGACGAACAGCTTACACTCCTGGCAATCAGTCTCTAACAGCATACAGTGAATCCCCCCAAGAACGAGACAAGGCTCCGTGTTGAGGGTCAAGCAGTGGTCTGAGGTGCTGGCACACCCAGCCTGGTTTTTATTACAGTCTTGCAAATACAGGACCACCCACAGGGAGGTATAAAACAACCAATCATATCACAGTTACATCCCACATATTCCCTCCCCTTATCCTGAGAGGAAACTCAATTATACAAACAGTTAAAACATACTTTCTACCCAACTTTCATAACTCCAAAACCATACATCACATTCACATAAAATTACATATTCACAATCAATCCATTCAGGGGAACAACATATTCAAAAATGGCACAAATCAGACAAGGGGTTCAAAAGTTAGTAAAAAGTCCTTTGTGACTAAATGAAGCATGGCTTTCTGGCCCAAACCAGTTTCAGAGTCTTCTATCCTGGAGATAAGTAATTGAATTATCTCCCAGGACAGACACAAGACTCCATTAAGCACATGGTTGCAAAAAGACACAAAACACTTTAAAATACATAAAGTCACATTTATACATAAAACACAGACATTTCACATATCCCCAGATAGCTCAGGTCTGAGCGCACATTATTAAGTGAATGGCGCTCAGACCACACGAATACAGTTTAATCGCCATGGAGCCAAAGTCTTTACAGTCAGTTTCATACGAATGGGCTCCATGGGATTCCCATCTGGGGTATAACACATTCAAACAAATCTACTGAAACCCAGGCAGAAAAGCACGACTGAAGCTTTTCTGCAGGTAAAAAATAAAGTCTTTTACAAGGGGGCCATAGTCCAAAGGCAGCAGGCGAGCAACCAGGCTTCTCCAATGCAATGTGGCGAGATTGGTCTCGTCACATGCCAGTACAGTCAGTTCCTGCTTAACCCTCAAAGTGAAGTGTCGTCTCATTATTGGGGGAGGATTTATTGTATGCTGTTCCAGTTTGACTGCTAGGAGTGTAAACCTATTCGCATGGTTTTCCTATGCAGCTGTATACAACATTCATATGCTTGAGAGCATTCATATGCTCCTACGGTTCGGTGGTTTTGGTGTCTGCTGCAGTGCTTGGAGTCCTCAGGAAGTGCTAGGAGCATCCTTCAACGGAGGTACCCAGTTGGGGTGCCAGGTGATCCGTTACACTGTTATCAGTCATTTATTAAGTCCTGTCACTGTTCTTGGTTATGTTTTATCCTCCCCCGTGTTTTCCTATATAAACCGGTACCCCTTTTAATAAAATACACATTTGCTCTTCCCTTCACTAAGTCTTGTCTAGTTACATAGCTGAAAAGAGACTTGCATCCATCAAGTTCAGCCTTCCTCACATATGTTTTTGATGTTGACCCAAAAGAAGGCAAAAAACCTAGTCTGAAGCGCTTCCTATTTTGCAACAAACTAGGGAAAAAATTGCTTCTTGACCCCAAAATAGCAGTCAGATGTCTCCTTGGATCAAGCAGCTATTACCCCACTAATTGGAAATTATATCCCTGTATGTTATGTTTTTGTAAGTATTTATCCAATTGCAGTTTAAACATCTGTATGGACTCTGATAAAACCACCTCTTCAGGCAGAGAATTCCATATGCTTATTGCTCATACTGTTAAAAAAAACATTTTCTTTGCCTTAGATGAAATCTCCTTTCTTCCAGCCTAAACGTGTGACCTCGTGTCCTATGCATAGCCCTGTATATGAATAGATTTCCAGATAATGGTTTGTACTGGCCCCGAATATATTTGTATAATGTTATCATATCCCATCTCAGGCGCCGTTTTTCGAAACTAAAGAGATTAACATTTTTTAACCTTTCTTCGTAACTAAAATGATCCATTCCTTTTATCAATTATTTAAAATTCTTTATTTTTTCGTGCATTCAATAAACAGGTGAGTTTGTGCTGCCCCAACAGCTAGTACAAACTGGGCATCAAATATAGTATGACATTTATGTGGACATTTAAGTGAGTACAGTGCACAGTTTATGAATAAAAGTAGGCTGTGTTAGTCTAAGGTCACCAATTGAGGAAAAAGTAATAATGAAAAAATAAAAAAATAAGTGGGGGGTTGGAGGGGAGATGTCTCTCTCTAGGCTCATGTAGAATAATACTGTACACCAGCATAACAAAGGAGTGGGACACCTAACCATCTTAACTGCTGTGCATAGTCTGGATAGGGAAGGTGGTGATTCTCATCCTACGTGAGATGGGCTAGTCTTAGTTTTGTTAGATGAAGTAGAGTGTTGTTTTCGTGTTTTAGTGACCCGATTTTAAGTAAGCATTCTAGCCCCATCTTCTATTGTGATGTTCATGGTAAGGGTAGAGTGTTCTTAGCTCGTTGGTTGGAAGCATGGGGATCTTTATGTGTTCTAGACGTTGAGACTTTTGGTTAAAGGCTGTCCAGGAGAGCGAGGCAGGGTTTAATGTTGCTTGGTGCTCTATCATCCGTGGGTGCGCGAGGGCAATGCTTGTGTACTGGTCTGGGGTGGCGGGTGGGTTCATGTATGCATGGTCCTAGACCAGGTGAAAGGAACACTCACCTCCTTGGTAGGAGTGGGTTGGCAGCCCTAGCAGCCGCTAATTATTGGCTGTATGAGTGGGCATCGGCCATAACGGTAGTTATGATGGGGCGCTAAGTGGTGACTTTAATCTTCCTGATGTAAATTGGAAAATAAAAGTAGTTACTTGTGCCAGGAGCACACATATTCTAAACTCCCTTCTGGGATTGTCTCTAAAACAAGTTGGTGAGGAGCCAACTCGTAAAGAGGCCATACTAGATTTAGTGTTAACAAATGGAGATCTGGTATCAGATATTACTGTAGGTGAAAGTTTAGGATCCAGTGATCATCAGTCAGTGTGGTTTAATATAAGAACAGTGACTGAGTCACACCACACAAAAACAAAAGTTTTAGACTTTAGAAAAACAGACTTTTCTAAAATTAGAATATGGGTAGAGGAGTCCTTATCAGACTGGAGCAATTTAAATGGAGTCCAAGAGAAATGGGATTATTTAAAAGTTGCACTATTGAAGGCAACAGAAAATTGCATTAGGCTTGTCAGTAAAAGCAAAAAATTCAAGAAACCACTGTGGTACTCCGCAGATGTGGCCAAAATAGTTAAAAACAAAAAGTTAGTGTGACGAGACCAATCTCGCCACATTGCATTGGAGAAGCCTGGTTGCTCGCCTGCTGCCTTTGGACTATGGCCCCCTTTTGAAAGACTTTATTTTTCCATGCAGAAAAGCCATATTCATGCTTTTCTGCCGGTTGTTCGGTAGTTTCAAACTACCGAACAACTGTACGAATGACTGGACCACCTGGGAGCTGGAGTGTGCCAGCAATTAACCTCCCTGAAGCTGCGGTTAACCGCAGCTTAATTGATGAACGCTGGGTGGCCGCCGTTCGTATCCCGAACACGAGGTCGCGGCCATTTTGAACCATACGAATGAACAGCGGTGTTCGCCTCTATTTTCATGGAACTAAAATCGGACACAGTTTTGCGCGAACACCGCTGAAGCCGCCGACCTCCCTTCTTGTTCGGTGAAAGCACACGAATGACCCGGTGTTCGGTATTTTTGTGTGAATGTCTTATACCCCAGATAGGAATCCCATGGAGCCCATTCGTATGAAACTGACTGTAAAGACTTTGGCTCCATGGCGATTAAACTGTATTTGTGTGGTCCGAGCGCCATTCACTTAATAATGTGCGCTCAGACCTGAGCTATCTGGGGATATGTGAAATGTCTGTGTGTTATGTGTAAAATGTGACTTTATGTATTTTAAAGTGTTTTGTGTCTTTTTGTAACCATGTGCTTAATGGAGTCTTGTGTCTGTCCTGGGAGATAATTGAATTACTTATCTCCAGGATAGAAGACTCTGAAACTGGTTTGGGCCAGAAAGCCATGCTTCATTTAGTCACAAAGGACTTTTTACTAACTTTTGAACCCCTTGTCTGATTTGTGCCATTTTTGAATATGTTGTTCCCCTGAATGGATTGATTGAGAATATGTAATTTTATGTGAATGCGATGTATGGTTTTGGAGTTATGAAAGTTGGGTAGAAAGTATGTTTTAACTGTTTGTATAATTGAGTTTCCTCTCAGGATAAGGGGAGGGAATATGTGGGATGTAACTGTGATATGATTGGTTGTTTTATCCCTCCCTGTGGGTGGTCCTGTATTTGAAACACTGTAATAAAAACCAGGCTGGGTGTGCTAGCACCTCAGACCACTGCTTGACCCTCAACACGGAGCCTTGTCTCGTTCTTGGGGGGATTCACTGTATGCTGTTAGAGACTGATTGCCAGGAGTGTAAGCTGCTTGGGAGCTTTTCCTGTTCGTCTGCTAGCAGCTGTTTGGGAGGTTCCAGTTCGGGAGTTGGAGTGCTATTTTGTATCCAGTTTGGGAGTTTGATGTTCTGCAGTAGCTGTGCCTGTATCTCTGGAAAGGGGGCCGATCGCCTAAACGGTTTTTACCCCTTGTGTGAAAAACGGTCCGTTACACTAAGATATGTAACAGGGTTGATGTTCCAGGAGGGATAAGCCAAATGACAAATGATTTAGGTAAACTAGAAAAATGGTCAGAATTGTGGCAACTGACATTTAATGTGGATAAGTGCAAGATAATGCATCTTGGACGTAAAAACCCAAGGGCAGAGTACAGAATATTTGATAGAGTTCTAACCTCAACATATGAGGAAAGGGATTTAGGGGTGATTATTTCTGATGACTTAAAGGTAGGTAGACAATGTAATAGAGCAGCAGGAAATGCTAGCAGAATGCTTGGTTGTATAAGGAGAGGTATTAGCAGTAGAAAGAGGGAAGTGCTCATGCCATTGTACAGAACACTGGTGAGACCTCACTTGGAGTACTGTACACAGTACTGGAGACCGTATCTTCAGAAGGATATTGATACCTTAGAGAGGGTTCAGAGAAGGGCTACTAAACTGGTTCATGGATTGCGGGATAAAACTTACCAGGAAAGGTTAAAGGATCTTAACATGTATAGTTTGGAGGAAAGACGAGACAGGGGGGATATGATAGAAACATTTAAATATATAAAGGGAATCAACACAGTAAAGGAGGAGACTATATTTAAAAGAAGAAAAATGTGACAGATTCATCTGTATTGCTGGTTCGTCTGTTTCCCTTTGTTCGCTGAATTGCCTGTTCATATAACCCCGTTCGTGTAATTTGCAAACTACCGATTGAAACTACCGAACGAACGACCACCCAGGAGAGGAGTGTGCTGCTGGTTAACCTCTTGGCCCCAATTAGAACGTTGTGGTGAACCGCAGACACCTCTCCATTCCATTCGTACGGGTGGTCGTCGTTCGCATGTCGACCACGAGGCAGCGGCCATTTTGGGACATACGAACACATAGCGGTGTTCGGTACAAACTGTATGGAACTAAAAACGGACACTTAAACTACCGAACACCGCTGGAAGCTGCTGCCTCCCTTCCATTTCGACAAGGCATGCGAACGTCGGTCGTTCGGGAGTTTTTATTCATTCGTATGGACTTTCACCCAGACAGCTATCCCATGGAGTCATTCGTATACCGAAGGACTGGTGAAAGACTTTGACTCCATGGCGATTCGACTAGATACATCAGATCTGAGCGCTATTCGGTGAAAACATGCACTCAGATCCAGGCTGTCTGGGGATACGTTACACGAACTATATGCATTCGGTATTTCTGCAGTTATGTATTTTAATGTATTTTTATTATTGTAAAGTAAAATGGCGATTGTCTCTACCTTGGGAGATAATTAGGTTTCTTCCTAATTATCTCAGAGGTAGAGAAGACGGAATTATGGGCAAGATGGGAAGGGCTATTATTGAAGCCACTGCGATTGGCTACTGTATAACATATTTTACAGTCTTCCACAAGGTCCCCTCGGGGAGTGTCCACCTTGTGGAGACCTGCATAAATACCGGGCAGGTAGCCCCCATTAAACAGATCCTTATTTGACTCTCAACACGGAGCTTGGTCTCGTTTGTGGGGGGGAATTATTACTGGGACAGCGCTTTCGTTATTTTTAGCTGTGGAAGGCGTTCGACTGTTTTGCTGATCGGGAGTTGCCGTGTTTGTGGACTTCGTTCGGGAGTTTGGCGGTCGGCTGGATTTAAACTGCATTTCTGGAGAAGGGGATTATTGACTAAACGGCGGCTTCATTTACCCGACGGTACGTGTCGTAACAAAAAACTACCACAACAAGAGGATATAGTCTTAAATTAGAGGGACAAAGGTTTAAAAATAATATCAGGAAGTATTACTTTACTGAGAGGGTAGTGGATGCATGGAATAGCCTTCCAGCTGAAGTGGTAGAGGTTAACACAGTAAAAGGAGTTTAAGCATGCGTGGGATAGGCATAAGGCTATCCTAACTATAAGATAAGACTAGGAACTAATGAAAGTATTTAGAAAATTGGGCAGACTAGATGGGCCGAATGGTTCTTATCTGCCGTCACATTCTATGTTTCTATGTTTTATGGCGTGTACCATCAAGTCTTCCTGGTTATGAGAGGAGGGTGGCATGCTGCCGTGCCTCCCCTAACCTATTGGTTGCACTTTTCATAATGGGGGTGGGAGTGCTCTCTGCAGCGGCAAGAGGGAGTCTGTCCTGCGTGCAGGGTACGATAGTGTTGTAAGAAACACCCAACAATTTCACAAAATACAAGGAAAACAAAACAAGTCAAGAACAAAAGTTAAGAATAGAAAAATAAAAAACTCTGTGACCAGGTGTCATGTGGTCTGTTGGAGTCCGGTGGCTCCTTAGCCAAGTGATTCTATCCTGCATGTCCCTGTGTTTCAGCCTGTGTCAGCAGCGGAGCGCAGCACAAATGGGACTATGTTGGGGACGTCCCAAGAGCAGTTAGGAGTCGGGTTGGATGGGTCTATTGCTTTAAGTCCTAATTTACAGAGGAAAGTTTCTGCGTTTTCTGTCGACGTCAGTCGATAAGTTGTTGCTCCCTTTGTAACTAATAGCATTGATGGGCCCCATCAGTACCTAACTCCAGCCGCTCTGAGGGTCGTGGTGACTCGCTGCACGGACCGTCTCCAGGTCAGAGTAGCTCTGCAAAGGTCCTGCAGGAAGGTGAGCTGCATGCCCTCGAAGTGCTATGGGCTCTGGCCGCTGAGCGCCGCCATCACCGCCATTTTGTCCCGGGTAGACTGTAAGCGGAGAAGGACGTCGTGGGAGGCCTCCGTTGGGGCTCTTGGCAACTTGGGGAGTCTGTGTACGCCCTCCACTAGCACAGTCTTCGCCTGCTTAGGGTTAAGAATTGTGGCTAAGAGGCGTCGGGTAAGTTGTGGCAATTCATTGTCATCTATGGAGTCGGCAATGCCTCTGATTTTTATGTTGGAGCGGCGTCTTGCGTCGTCTAGGCAATCCAGCCGTGCCTGGTGTGAGGACTGGAGGTGTGTTAGCTTCTTCTCCGTTGCTTGCTGGCGTTCTGCCATAGCAGATAAGTCTTCCTCGGCAACCCTCACTCTGCCAGTAACGGCGGTCACTTCCTCCTGCAAAATCGCCATGTCTGAGCGGAATAGGGTGCGCATGTTCTGTAGTATATTCAGGATGTCACCCTTGGTGGCTGGAGCTCTCAGGTCACCCATTGCTAGGCTCGAGATGTGGTCTGTAGCCTTTGGTATGGGATCTGGAGCATCCGGTGTTTCCTCCTCAGAGGATGAGCTTTGGGGATCTGGGGTCGCCGCCATTTTAGGTTTAGGCCTCGCCAGGAAAAGATCACCTATTTGCCGGGATCCGTCCTCAGGGCGAGTTTTTAACTTTTTATTTCTTTTCCCCATGGTGTCGTTGAGCGTGGGGGCTGAGAAGTAGTCGGATTGTCTTCGTGTGGATCGATTAATCTGCATTTATTTTTTGCTCGGGAGCTCCGCAGGCATGCGACTGCTCTCTGTGCGATCCAGGCCTCCTTTTATAAATTATGTAGCTTGTCTCCGCACTTTTTCTAGTGCCATGATATCCCTCTTTAGAACAGGTGCCCAAAATTGCACAGTATATTCAAGGTGTGGTCTTACCAGCGATTTATAAAGAGGCAAAATTATATTTTAATCCTGAGAATTTATGCCCCTATTTATACATGACAAAACCTTACTGGCCTTAGACACTGCAGATTGACATTGCATATTGCTGCCCAATTTGTTGTCTATAACCATTCCCAAATCCTTCTCGTGTGTGGTTATCCTTAATTCACTGCCATTTAGGGTGTAAGTTGCTTGTGCATTCTTGACCCCGAAGTGCATAACTTTGCATTTCTCTACGTTAAATTTCATCTGCCATTTTAGTGCCCAGTCCCCCAATCTATCCAAATCCCTTTGCAGCAAAGCAATATCCTGCTCACATTTTATTACTTTACAAAGTTTTGTGTCATCTGCAAACACTGAAACATGGCTTTCAATGCCTATTTCAAGATCATTTATAAACATCCTGAGGGACACCACTTACCACTTTTGTCCGGCCTGAAAATTTACCATTAATGACAACTTGTTTTACTCTATCCTTAAGCCAATGTTCTACCCAATAAGAAGAATAATCATCTAGACCAATTTCATTTAGTTTGAAGACTAACCTATTGTGAGGAATCGTATCATATGCCTTGGCAAAGTCCAAGTAGATCACATCCACTGCAACACCCTGATCTATACTTCTTCTTACTTCTTCGTAGAATGCAATTAGGTTAGTGTTGGAGGAAAAATGCAAAATAGCTAGTCAGCCCTCCTTCAAGTGACTGGCTGAGGGTTCTGAGAGTAGAAAAGAGCTGGTAGAATTCCTGCTCGTCAAACCCTACATGGCTTAATTGACTCTGGTGTTTACAATACAAGTACTGAGAGCTCTGTTTTTATTCTCATAAAATCAGTTGGTATACATGGCTATAGTACACGTTTATTCTCATATTGTTCATTAAATGTATTTACATATATACATGTTTTGTAATAATATAGAGGTGGGGAGTCATTCCACCTCAGCCAGAATATAGGATATAAGAATAAGCAGTAGCGGCAGACAGACGAGCATTCCGAACCAGAATAAAAACAAACTCAGTGCCGATATCCTATAAGAATGACACGAGAGCTTCTTCGACAACTTCTTATTATTTTCCTTCTCCGCCTAGAAACAAATGTCAGGCCACATATTAACACTGAGTATCACCAAATTATAATTATATTCATCCATGCATATATAGATAGATCCGAGCACAGTGTGTAGAGAGAGAGAGAGAGAGCGATCCGAGTCCGGTGTATATAGAGAGAGAGATCCGAGCCCAGTGTATATAGAGAGAGAGAGATCCGAGCCCGGTTTATAGAGAGAGAGCGATCAGAGTCCAGTGTATAGAGAGAGAGAGAGAGTGATCCGAGTCCAGTGTATAAAGAGAGAGAGAGAGATCCGAGCACAGTGTATAGAGAGATCCGAGCCCGGTGTATAGAGAGAGAGAGATCAGAGCCCGGTGTATATAGAGAGAGAGATCAGAGTCCAGTGTATATAGAGAGAGAGATCTGAGCCCGGTTTATAGAGAGACAGATCCGAGCCTGGTGTATAGAGAGAGAGATCAGAGCTATATATATATAGAGAGAGAGAGCGAGAGAGAGATATCTGAGCCTGGTGTATACAGAGAGAGAGAGATCCGAGCCCGGTATATAGAAAGAGACCGATCCGAGCCTGGTGTGTGTGTGTGTGTATGTATGTATGTATGTATGTATGTATGTATATATATATATATATATATATATATATATATATATATATATATAGAGAGAGAGAGAGAGAGAGATCCGAGTCCTGTGTATACAGAGAGAGAGATCCGAGTCCTGTGTATACAGAGAGAGAGATCCGAGTCCTGTGTATACAGAGAGAGAGAGATCCAAGTCCAGTGTATAGAGATCAGAGCCCCGTGTATACAGAGAGAGAGAGAGAGATCCGAACTCAGTGTATAGAGACAGAGAGAGATCCAAGCCCAGTGTATAGAGAGATCAGAGCCCCGTGTATACAGAGAGAGAGAGATCTGAGCCCAGTGTATACAGAGAGAGAGATCCGAGCCCAATGTATAACGAGAGAGAGATCCGAGCCCGGTGTATAGAGAGAGAGAGCGCTCCGAGCCCAGTGTATACAGAATGAGAGAGATCAGACATCGATGTATACTGAGGGAGATCAGAGCCCGTTGAATACAGAGAGAGAGAGATCCAAGCCCAGGGTATACAGAAAGAAAGAGAGATCAGAGCCCGGTGTATACAGAGAGAGAGAAATCCGAGCCCAGTTGTGACGAACTGAGCCTCATCACGTGTTCTTGGAGGGGCCAGCTGGCCAGCCTCTTACCAAAAGACTATGGGCCATTTAAAAAAACTATGTGAACAGACTTGGTTCGTGGGATTTTATATTTGGTTCAGGAACTACCCTGGAGCTTGTTAAACCGAATTGCTACTTGTTAAGACACCTCCAGTGTCTTTAGGCAAAACCGCCGTTTAGTAAACCTTCCCGGCTGCAGTACAGTCTCCGTTCGCTTACTCTGTAACACACGAACCAAATGCAGGGGAAGCGGCAATCTCCCGATCGAAATCCACGAACGGCTCCAAACTCCCGAACGGCAATATACGAACTGCTGGTAACCGTCGAACAATAATATCCCCAAAGCGGCTTTCGTTCCATCCAGCAGTCTCTAAACGTGAAGAAGAAATCCCCCCCAATAACGAGACAGAAGCTCCACATTGAGGGTCAAACAGGATCTGGTTTTACTGTGGGCTACCTGCCCATATTTATGCAGGTCTTCCACCTGGTGGACACTCCCCTAGGGGACCAAATGGGAGACTTAAACTACAGACAGATAGAAGGACATTTCAGACACACAGTCACATATTTTACCCACAGTGCATTATGATTCCCTCCCCTCTGCCCTGGAGTTAATTACCAAGTAACTCAATTAACTCCAGGACAAGGACAGTCGCCATCTTAAACATAAAATAATAAAAGACATAAAAATACATAACTACATGAAAACTGAACATTTCCCGTTGGTATTACATGTCCCCAGATAGCCTGGATCTGAGTGCATATTATTAGCGAATAGCGCTCAGATCCCACACACATAGTTCAATCGCCATGGAGTCAAAGTTCTTACAGTCTTTCGGTATACGAATGACTCCATGGGAAGGCTATCTGGGTTAAGTCTTTTCGTATGCTCTCAATCTCCCGAACGGCCGGTGTTCGCATGCTTTCGTGGAGGCAGCCAGGCGTTCCGTTGTTTCAGCGGTGTTCGGCAGAAAAAGTGTCCGTTTTCAGTTCCATAGAAATAGAGCCAAACACCGCTGGGCGTTCGCATGATTTAAAATGGCCGCTGCCTCGTGGTCGACATACGAACGACGACCACCCTGAGTTCGGTTTAATTGAGAAGTGTCTGCGGTTAACCACAACGTTCTAATTGGGATCACTTTGTTAACCAGCAGCACACTCCTCACTTGGGTGGCTGTTCGTTCGGCAGATTTGTTCGGGAAAAAGAGTCATTCGAATGGCTGGGCTATAGAAACCAGCCATTCATACGAACGGGGGACAAACAGACGAACGGGCAAAAATCCAGCAGACAGATGGTTCTGTCACACTATTTTGTAGCAATTTCCACCGCAGTGTTCTAAGTGTTCGTCTGGGTGGCCACAATTTCTATGGACGACCACGAGATGGTGGCCATCTTGCTTGGGCATGAATCTCATGGAACTAAAACCGGACACAGAAACTTCCGAACACTGCTGCCCTTCCAGCATCGCCTGCGTTCGGTTCAACAACACTTAGAAAAGCACTGTTCAGTGGAATCATTCCCATGAACAAGGGGATCAAGCTCCAGGGTAAGACTATTGACTATGTTCGGTAGTTTGTTCGTTTTTAAACTACCGAACTAAACTGACCGCAAGCCCTGATTCTCTGGAACTGTTTTGGGCATGGGACCAAGTGGGCAGCCGGTCAAAACTATGACTTCAGGAAATTCCTGAACCCCTGATTGATCTGGGTGATTTTTGGATATGTTGGACAACTAGATCAGGACTATCACGGAATGTAATCTTTGTAGGGTTTTTATGTATTTTTAGGGTACTTTTGGGGTGTTTGGGAAAAAGTGTGGTTTTTTTTTGCTTGGAGATAATTGGATTAGATTAGTACAGTTACTGATCCAATTATCTCCCATGCACAGAGGAGGGATTATCTGATTTTGTATGGGAGTGTCCTGGACCTGAGAGCCAATGTGATTGTGTACTTATTTCTACTGTGGTTTACTCTCAGGTCCAGGGGAGAGTGTCCCTTGCATGGGGACTGTCATAAAAATCCAGTTGTGGCTACCATTAAACTGAGATTCGTTTTACCCTTCATGCAGTCTAGGCTCATGTTTGGGGCATTGGAGAGCTATATTCACTCTGGGAATTGCTATAATCACTATACTCCCTTGGATCACAACACTTGCTCTTATAAGAGCAGCCTGCTTCACTCTCTGGACTAGGAGAAGTCTACCCACTGGAAGCTGGATCCTGGTCTTGGGTTCAGGGTGGGTGGAGGACAGCGAGACACCAACGAAGGGGTGCCAGGCGGTCCGTCACACCAGTGTATACAGAAAGAGAGAGAGATCCAAACACAGTGTTGTGACAGAACCATCTGCCTGCTTGTATTTTAGTTGCATTCGTCTGTTTGTATCCCGTTCGCATGAATGGCTGTTTTCTATAGCCCAGCCATTCGAATGACTTTTTTCCCGAACAAACTTACTGAACGGACGGCCACCCAGGAGAGGAGGGTGCTGCTGGTTAACCTATTGATCCCAATTAGAACGTTGTGGTTAACCGCAGACACTTCTTAATTAAACCAAATTCAGGGTGGTCGTCGTTCGTATGTCGACCACGAGGCAGCGGCCATTTTAAACCACGCGAAAGCCCAGCGGTGTTTGGCTCTATTTCTATGGAACTAAAAACGGACACTTTTTCTGCCGAACACCGCTGAAACAATGGAACGCCTGGCTGTCTCCACGAAAGCATACGAATACCGGCCGTTCGGGAGGTTTGGAGCATACGAAAAGACTTAACCCAGATAGCCTTCCCATGGAGTCATTCGTATACCGAAAGACTGTAAGAACTTTGACTCCATGGCGATTGAACTATGTGTGTGGGATCTGAGCGCTATTCGCTAATAATATGCACTCAGATCCAGGCTATCTGGGGATATGTGATACGAATGGGAAACATTTGGGTATTTGAAAGTTATGTATTTTTATGTCTTTTGTGATGTTATATTTAAAATGGCAACTGGCTTCGTCCTGGAAATAATTGAGTTACTCGGTAATTATCTCCAGGGCAGAGGAGAGGGAATCATAATGCACTGTGGGTAAAATCTGTGACTGTGTGTCTGGAATGTCCCCATATCTGTCTGTCATTTAAGTTTCCCATTTGGTCCCCTATGGGAGTGTCCACCAAGTGGGAGACCTGCATAAATACGGGCAGGTAGCCCACAGTAAAAGCCAGATCCTGTTTGACCCTCAATGCGGAGCTTCTGTCTCGTTATTGGGGGGATTTCTTCTTCACGTTTAGAGACTGCTGGATGGAACCGAAAGCCGCTTGGTGGATATTGTTGTTCGGCGGCTAGCAGCAGTTCGTGTATTGCCGTTCGGGAGTTTGGAGCCGTTCACGGATCCCGGTCGGGAGATTGCCGCTTCCCCTGCATTTGGTTCGTGTACTACAGGTTAGGCGAACGGAGTTACTGTTACTGCAGACAGGGAAGGTCGACTAAACAGCGGTTTTGCCTAAAGACACTGGAGGTGTCTTAACAAGTGTATAGAAAGTGAGAGAGAGATCAGAGCCCATGTTTACAGAGAGAGAGAGTGATATCAGACGGGTGTATACAGAGAGAGAGAGATCAGAGCCCTGTGTATACAGAAAGAGAGAGAGTTTAGAGCCAGGTGTATACGGAGAGATCAGAGCTTGGTGTATAGAGAGAGGGAAAGAAAGAGATCAAAGCCCGGGGTATACAGAGAAAGCAAGAGAGAGATCAGAGCCCGGTGTATATAGAGAGAGAGATATGAGCCCAGTGTATACAGAAAGAGGGAGATCAGAGCCCTGTGCATACAGAGAGAGCTAGAGAGAGGTCCAAGCCCAGTGTATAGAGAGAGATCAGAGCCCAGGGTATACATAGGGAGAGAGAGAGATCTGAGCCTGGTGTATACACAGATAGAGTGCTTTTAATACAGGAAGGTTTATGATGCAGGTCCAAGATTCTCTCTGTAATACATTTACCTTTAAAGCGAGAAGCAGTGCTTTGATGCCCACACAAGACAATCCACAGACAATACTCAGGATTGCAAGATGTCGAGGTCCACAGGAGAAAAAGGATCGTGATGAGGACCGTAACTTTGTGTCAGTAGGGGTTTGAGGTTCACATCCAGGCATGAAGACTGTTGTCTCTTCCACACTCGGCCCATTCCGGTCTCCACCAGTGAAGTCTGACATCTTAGAAAAAAAAAATTAAAATGGCAAATGGGATAAAATGGACATGGATCAAGGAGAAATTATACAGGTGCCTGTTAATGGAGAGATGCAGGCTGGGAGAGAAACCAGGGACCTCCTGAACATCGTGTGTCTATAAGCAGAATGGGTCATTTCCAGTGTGCACATCTGTACATAGGTAAATAAGTGACTGGATACAGGAGAACCTTGGTTTGTTTATCTGTAGATGGGAGGAATCTCAGTCCCGGTAATACCGAGTAAATGGGTGACTGGATACAGGAGAATCTTGGTGTGTTTATCTGTAGATGGGAGGAATCTCTGCCTTCAGTAATGCCTAGTGAATGAGTGACTGGTTACAGGAGAACCTTGTTGTGTTTATCTGTTACTGGGAGTAATCTCAGTCCCGGTAATGCCTAGTAAATGGGTGACTGGTTACATGAGAACCTTGTTGTGTTTATCTGTAGATGGGAGTAATCTCTGTGACGAGACCAATCTCGCCACATTGCATTGGAGAAGCCTGGTTGCTCGCCTGCTGCCTTTGGACTATGGCCCCCTTTTAAAAGACTTTATTTTTCCATGCAGAAAAGCTGTATTCGTGCTTTTCTGCCGGTTGTTCGGTAGTTTCAATCTACCGAACAACCGTACGAATGACTGGACCACCTGGGAGCTGGAGTGTGCCGGCAATTAACCTCCCTGAAGCTGCGGTTAACCGCAGCTTAATTGATGAACGCTGGGTGGCCGCCGTTCGTATCCCGAACACGAGGTCGCGGCCATTTTAAACCATACGAATGAACAGCGGTGTTCGCCTCTATTTTCATGGAACTAAAATCGGACACAGTTTTGCGCGAACACCGCTGAAGCCGCCGACCTCCCTTCTTGTTCGGTGAAAGCACACGAATGACCCGGTGTTCGGTATTTTTGTGTGAATGTCTTATACCCCAGATAGGAATCCCATGGAGCCCATTCGTATGAAACTGACTGTAAAGACTTTGGCTCCATGGCGATTAAACTGTATTCGTGTGGTCTGAGTGCCATTCACCTAATAATGTGCACTCAGACCTGAGCTATCTGGGGATATGTTACATGTCTGTGTTTTATGTAGTAAATGTTACTTTGTGCATTTTAAAGTATTATGCTGGTTTTGTGTTCCCACGTGTGTAATGGAGTTTTGCCTTTGTCTTGGGAGATAATTGAGTTACTTCCCAATTATCTCCCAGGGCAGAGGGGAGGAAGCCAGGATGCATTGTGGGAATATACTGTGACTGTGTGTCCTATTTGTATACTTGTCTGTCCCTTGTCACAGTCTCCCATTTGGTCCCCTAGGGGAGTGTCCACCAGGTGGGAGACCTGCATAAAAGCTGGGCAGGTAGCCCTCATTAAACAGACCACTGCTTGACCCTCAACACGGAGCCTTGTCTCGTCTTTGGGGGGATTTACTGATGCTGATAGAGACTGATTGCTAGGAGTGTAAGCCGCTTGGATGCTTTTCCTATTCGTCTGGTAGCAGCAATTCGTATGGTTCCTGTTCGTGTATTTGGAGTGCTACCTTATTCCCTTGTATGCCGTTCGGGAGTTTGGAGCATTCACTTGTATTCAGTTCGTGAGTTTTGGTGATTCTACAGTAGCTGTGCCTGTCTCTGAAAGGGGATTATCGTCTAAGCGTTTTTTTTCCCTTTTGTGCAAAACGGTCCGTTACAATCTCAGTCCCGGTAATGCCTAGTAAATGGGTGACTGGATAAAGGAGAACCTTGTTGTGTTTTTCTGTAGATGGGAGTAATCTCAGTCCCGGTAATGCCTAGTAAATGGGTGACTGGTTACAGGAGAACCTTGTTGTGTTTATCTGTAGATGGGAGTAATCTCAGTCCCAGTAATACCGAGTAAATGGGTGACTGGATACAGGAGAACCTTGTTGTGTTTATCTGTAGATGGGAGTAATCTCGGTCCCGGTAATGCCTAGTAAATGGGTGACTGGTTACAGGAGAACCTTGTTGTGTTTATCTGTTACTGGGAGGAATCTCAGTCCTGGTAATACCGAGTTAATGGGTGGCTGGATACAGGAGAACCTTATTGTGTTTATCTGCTACTGGGAGGAATCTCAGTCTCGGTAATACCGAGTAAATGGGTGACTGGATACAGGAGAACCTTGTTGTGTTTATCTGTTACTGGGAGGAATCTCTCCCGCCAGTAATGCCTAGTAAATGGGTGACTGGATACAGGAGAACCTTGTTGTGTTTATCTGTTACTGGGAGGAATCTCAGTCCCGGTAATACAGAGTAAATGGGTGACTGGGTACAGGAGAACCTTATTGTGTTTATCTGTAGATGGGAGTAATCTCAGTCCCGGTAATACCGAGTAAATGGGTGACTGGATACAGGAGAACCTTATTGTGTTTATCTGTTACTGGGAGGAATCTCAGTCCCGGTAATACCGAGTAAATGGGTGACTGGGTACAGGAGAACCTTATTGTGTTTATCTGTAGATGGGAGTAATCTCAGTCCCGGTAATACCGAGTAAATAGGTGACTGGATACAGGAGAACCTTATTGTGTTTATCTGTAGATGGGAGGAATCGCAGTCCCGGTAATACCGAGTGTGACGAGACCAATCTCGCCACTTTGCATTGGAGAAGCCTGGTTGCTCGCCTGCTGCCTTTGGACTATGGCCCCCTGTTAAAAGACATCTTTTTTACCTGCAGAAAAGCTTCATTCGTGCTTTTCTGCCTGGAGTTCGGTAGATTTGTTTGAATGTGTTATACCCCAGATAGGAATCCCATGGAGCCCATTCGTATGAAACTGACTGTAAAGATTTTGACTCCATGGCGATTAAACTGTATACGTGTGGTCTGAGCACCATTCACTTAATAATGTGCGCTCAGACCTGAGCTATCTGGGGATATGTTAAATGTATAGTTTTAATGTAATGTGCCTTACCTGGTGTATTTTAACAGTAATGCTTGTTTTGTGTCCCCATGTGCATAATGGAGTCTTGTCTCTGACATGTCTGTGTTTTATGTATAAAATGGGACTTTGTGTATTGCACAGTATTTTAATGCTTTGTGCTAACCATGTGCATAATGGAGTCTTGTCTCTGTCCTGGGAGATAATTTAATTACTTCTTGTGACAGAACCATCTGTCTGCTGGATTTTTGCCCGTTCGTCTGTTTGTCCCCGTTCGTATGAATGGCTGGTTTCTATAGCCCAGCCATTCGAATGACTCTTTTTCCCGAACAAAACCGCCGAACGAACGGCCACCCAAGTGAGGAGTGTGCTGCAGGTTAACGAAGTGATCACCATTATAACGTTGTGGTTAACCGCAGACACTTCTCAATTAAACCGAACTCAGGGTGGTCGTCGTTCGTATGTCGACCACGAGGCAGCGGCCATTTTAAATCATGCGAACGCTCAGCGGTGTTTGGCTCTATTTCTATGGAACGGAAAACGGACACTTTTTCTGTCGAACACCGCTGAAACAAGGGAGCGCCTGGCTGCCTCCACGAAAGCATGCGAACATCGGCCGTTCGGGAGATTGAGAACACACAAAAGACTTAACCCAGATAGCCCACCCATGGAGTCATTCGTGTACCGAAGGACTGTAAGAACTTTGACTCCATGGCGATTGAACTATGTGTGTGGGATCTGAGCGCTATTCGCCAATAATATGCACTCAGATCCAGGCTATCTGGGGACATGTAATACGAATGGGAAATGTTCAGTCTTCATGTAGTTATGCATTTTTGTGTCTTTTATTATTTCATGTTTAAGATGGCGACTGTCCTTGTCCTGGAGTTAATTGAGTTACTTGGTAATTAACTCCAGGACAGAGGGGAGGGAATCAGAATGTACTGTGGGTAAAATATGTGACTGTGTGTCAGAAATGTCCTGCTATCTGTCTGTACTTTAAGTCTTCCATTTGGTCCCCTAGGGGAGTGTCCACCAGGTGGGAGACCTGCATAAATACGGGCAGGTAGCCCACAGTAAACCCAGATCTTATTTGACCCTCAATGCGGAGCTTCTGTCTCGTTATTGGGGGGATTTCTTCTTCACGTTTAGAGACTGCTGGATGGAGCGAAAGCCGCTTTGGGGATATTATTGTTCGACGGTTCCTAGCAGTTCGTATATTGCCGTTCGGGAGTTTGGAGCCGTTCGTGGATTTCGATCGGGAGATTGCCGCTTCCCCTGCATTTGGTTCGTGGGTTACAGAGTAAGCGAACAGAGACTGTACTGCAGCCGGGGAAGGTTTACTAAACGGCGGTTTGGCTTAAAGACACGGGAGGTGTCTTAACAATTGGTGGCAGCGGTGGGATGAATCCTACAGCACTGGAGGTCAGCTACAAGAGATGCAGTACGAGGAATTAAGGCGTGCTACACTTAAGGACATATTGGAACGCCGAGGAAGGTCAGCAAGCAATTTAAAGAAACGGGAGATTATTGCTTTGCTAATGGAGATGGATGCAGCAACGGGAATGGAAAGAGTCAACGTGCCCAGTACCTTGGATTTAACACCCGAGGAAATACAATTCAACCGGGCATTACAAATAAGGCTGGCACATTTTGGCCCCAACCCCCCAGCTGACATCGTGGTTCGTGTGCAGGCAGCAGTTGCAGCACAACAGGCGGCCCGGGAAAGAGGAGCTGCAGCAGCAGAGGTACCGTATGACAATAATGTGGTTGCTAGAAAAAAGGTACCTTTTGCTGCGTTTAAAAATTTTGTGGAAACACAGGGAGAGATTGATGGATTTTTGGCAGACTTTGAGAGGCAGTGTGCGCTACATCAGGTACCTGCAGATGAATGGGTCACCATCCTCTCTGGGAAATTATCTGGCCGGGCTAGTGAAGCTTTTCGGGCCATCCCAGAGGAGGAGATCACCAGCTATCGGGCTGTAAAAGAGGCGCTCCTAGCCAGGTATGCGGTGACCCCAGAGGCGTACAGGCGGAGGTTTAGAGAAACCAACAAGCTGGTTGGGGACTCTTATGTGGAATGGGCCTGCAGAGTCCATCGTACCGC